ATTGTTAACCTACCTATTTTTTTTTTATTAACGAATATAGAGAATTCATTTTATAAATTCTATATTACTGTGAAAAATAATTTTATGTGTAATTTACTTCAAGTAATTCAAAATAAAAACTACTTGATGGGTAAATAATTTATTTTATTATTTTTCACGACTGCACTTCCAATTCTTTATCTTTTTCAACAACAAAACAAAATATTCATAATATATATGTCGTAAACCCGGGTAAGCCAACAAGTGAGTTGGAAGCAGTCGGGGTTGAGTGGCAAGGCGTTCAGAGTGGGAAGTCCGCACGGGACAGTAAGGACAAAGTTTGGGAACAAAAGACGCTCTCCCAGTACGTCTCACGTGGCACCAGGACCAGGGGAATGTTGAGGATTAACTGAGGAAAGCTCGGCGTTCTGTATGAAGCCGAGGAGGCAGAGAGGAACCAAAACGGCGGCCACGAGGGCCGACGTGAGATCTAGCACTGAGTGGCCTTTCCGAAAATATCCACTGTAACCTAACTAACTGTCAACATCTGGACCAACGCCCCTTCTTTGTCCCTCCCTGGATCCCCCGGGTGGCAAGCTGGTGTCACTTTGAGACGACTATAAAAGTCGTCATACTTTATTACTTACATATCACATTGTTTAAATTACGATTTATATATATAATATATAAATGATAATAATTACCAAAGGTTGTGTGTCATAGACGAGACAAGTAAAAAGACAATTTGTCATAGGCGGTGTCCCGTCACTAGCGGCAGTCCTTTGTTCCCAGATTAGACGTGTCACAGGTTTCTCTACCGGAACGTTGGTTCTGGAGACCATCTTACACAACAGTGTGTTCCAGTTTCTTTCCAGTTAGAGGCTTTCTTCGTAACTCTATTCAAGAAAACCTTAACGGAAACTTTAAAGACACGACAACACTTAGAAGAACTGAAGAGAAATTAGACTCTTCCAAAAGATGAAAGAGCAAAATTTATTTGCTCAGCTGTATAGCTGGAAGAAGACAACAACCTGTATATCCAGGATAGCCTAGTGGACATGGCATCTGCCCGGTAAGCGGAATACTGTGGGTTCGATTCCCATCCCTGGACACTTTTATTTTCTGTTCATCATTACTCTTCACAATTCATCCTTTCATACCTCAACTCTAAGGTTAGAAATAATCAATAAGGCACAAATTGGATTATAGATTATAAACACAAGGTAATAAGACCAAATCCAAATAAATAAATAGTGTGTGACGTTTCGATAACAGCGTTGTTACCATCTTCAGACAAAAGTACTGAAGTTTTGTCTTTTGGAATTCAGTACTTTTGTCTGAAGATGGTAACAACGCTTTTACCGAAACGTCACACACTATCTATTTATTGGGATTTGGTCTTATTACCTTGTGTTAGAAATAATCGTTATTTCTCCTTTAAAAAAATTGATTTTTCATTGAAAAGAAACTCATGCGGGATAATTTTCAAATGTCGTTTTACAACACCCTGTATATCAAGGTTTCGTGACTATGGCCTTCATCAGTACAGGGAGGGCTTCGATTTTATAACATCCTACGAGATAATAAGAAAATACGTCGAATTATCCGAAACTGGTGTTTCAGCTGATATTTTGTATGTTAGGGATGATATATGGCCAGAATACACTCATCGACAAAACTTAAGAAAGTGGAAAGTCTTTGATATCAACGGTCTTCTGTTTTTATTGAAGGCGACAGAGACAATTTTGTTCAGACTTGGTTATCTCGTGTATCAAACTCTGCTGAGAAAACAATATTGATCAAATTTGTAACAAATAAATTTACTGGCAATATGTTTTCTTTCTAATAGTTTCATCAAATATTATCTCTATAGATCTAACTGATATGATAAAAGTTATTAAATGAGAGGGCTTGGCTCATCAGTAGTGTTCCTCTTAGCGGTCTCACCAAATTAATCTCCAAACCACTCTACTATTGTATTGGATTGGTTTTCTTATAAATCCTGTATTTACTATGGAAGGCAGATTAAGGGTGTTTAGGGAACCTATGGACATAAGTTTATAGGTCTGTAGAAATACATACATATAATTACAAGGAATTGAATCGAGCAAAGCTCTTCCGCAAATATGGTGTCATAACAAATACAGTATGTATATATTAGTAAATTAAATTTAATTGCCATCTCTCGATGAAAATTTACTCTCTCTGTTATGTGTTTTTTTTAGAGATAATATTTGATTATATCATTGAAAGGAAAGACATTGCCAGTAAATTGTTAAAATATTTATCGATAAATGACAATTGATTTTATATATGGACCAAATTAGATAAAATTAGAGAAAATTTGTCTTTATAGTCATTAAAATTCTAAATATACTTGAAGAATGCTAACAACACAAACACCAGTTTTATTGTTCCAAAATATTTTATTTTTGTTATACACTCTTCTACCTAATATTCAATAGGTAGTGTAGTTTCTATTAAAAGATATTGTATGTTATATATTTGTATAATATTATTACAGAATTATCATAAAAACTAAAAACGTTTCACGCTATATATTGATTACATCACAAGTCCTTGGTCAAAACCATATAAACATATCATATATTACAATTTTGTACCGCTCAAGAAGAACTACCTAGTTTATGATATTTACATGAGAAATATGAATAGGTTCTTCATAGAATAAAATGTACAATACGGCAATCAATACCGGTTCATGGCTGTCTGGAATCGAATATTTTATCTACTCGTCCACCGACTTGAATAACAGCCTTAGGAGTTTCTCACCTATATGTAAATATAGTGTTGTTTAAGGGAGATGATATCAGGAGACAGAATATGCAACTTTATTAGAAGAAAGTGTGACGCTAAGGCGTATAAAGGGAGTTTAATATAGCAGCGGTGTCAGCCTCGATTCATTAGAGGTTCCAGACACAGGCGTGTGTATACTCAGGAAGCCGTTAACAAGGCTCTAAAACAGCGGCCATAAACGTCAGCCTATGGCGTGAGAACATGGTCTGAGTGAAGACTTCCTTAGGAATACAAATACATGCCAACTTCTCGCTGATTTATTATCCTGACGGATCTACACTCATGGACAAAACTTAAGGAAGTTGTACCTTTTACCATGTATATCGGGATTGAGACAATAATTCTGAAAGATATTACAGTGACCTTTATTGAAGACACACGAGATAAACAATATACACTCATGGACAAAACTTAAGGAAGTTGTACCTTTTACCATGTATATCGGGATTGAGACAATAATTCTGAAAGATATTACAGTGACCTTTATTGAAGACACACGAGATAACCAATATACACTCATGGACAAAACTTAAGGAAGTTGTACCTTTCAGCATGTATATCGGGATTGAGACAATAATTCTGAAAGATAATACAGTGACCTTTATTGAAGACACACGAGATAACCAATATACACTCATGGACAAAACTTAAGGAAGTTGTACCTTTCAGCATGTATATCGGGATTGAAACAATAACTCTGAAAGATATTACAGTGACCTTTATTGAAGGCACACGAGATAACCAATATACACTCATGGACAAAACTTAAGGAAGTTGTACCTTTCAGCATGTATATCGGGATTGAAACAATAACTCTGAAAGATATTACAGTGACCTTTATTGAAGGCACACGAGATAACCAATATACACTCATGGACAAAACTTAAGGAAGTTGTACCTTTCAGCATGTATATCGGGATTGAAACAATAACTCTGAAAGTTATTACAGTGACCTTTATTGAAGACACACAAGGTAACCAATATACACTCATGGACAAAACTTAAGGAAGTTGTACCTTTCAGCATGTATATCGGGATTGAAACAATAACTCTGAAAGTTATTACGGTGACCTTTATTGAAGACATACGAGATAACCAATATACACTCATGGACAAAACTTAAGAAAGTTGTACCTTTTAACATGTATATCGGGATTGAGACAATAACTCTGAAAGATATTACTGTGACCTTTATTGAAGACACACGAGATAACCAAGTGTGAACAGCCTCTGTCTCATTGAAAAAAAAACAGAGGACTAGCGATATCAAAGTCTTTCCACTTCCCCAAGTTTTTTCCATGAGTTTATATATATATGGTATACATATGAATATTTTTCCAGGAGTATATTGATATATAAAAATAAAGTTTGCTTCTCCCGTCAAAATAGATGTTAAAACTAAGCGTCATTTTTGCCATAGATTTAACCTAGCCCCTCAACCAGTTAAATACCTCTTTGGCAGATTGTTACACAAGATGGCGACACCTATCTTCCTGGCGGGCCAGAAGGAGTTTGGTTCCTTTATATAACGTCAAACCTCCGCCTTCTAGAAAGATCACGCCGTAGCGAATGATTCCAAAATGGATAAAAATGAATTTCAAGCTGTTATTAAACATTTATTTTTTAAACGTTGGTCGGCTTCCCAAATTGAATCCGAGCTGAAGGATGTTTTAGGAGACTCAACCCCATTATTCAACATAATTTATTACTGGATGATTGAATTTAAACTTGGCCGAAAATCAACACAAGATGAACCACGTCCCGAACGCCTTATCGATGTAACCACGCCAGAAATGGTAGTAAGCAATACTGGTACGTGTAATACATTTACAGTACAAACAGTTACAACCTCTATCCATTCTAATTATGATGGTGAATTACTACATATGATTTATTAAAATTCGAAACTATTATAGACGCGTATGATTCTATTTAAAAATAAACAATTTCTACTGTCCTTACTGCAATGAAAAAAATAATGGAAGGGCAGTAAAAATTATTTTTAAAAAGAATCACCTTTCCATTAATTTTTCCATTGCAGTAAGGACAGTAGAAATTGTTTTATTTTTAAAAATAATCATACATGTCTATAATAGTTTCGAATTTTGATAACAGATGGCGCGCTAATGCATCTTAATATAATCTATTATCAATATAAGCAATCTCAATTCCAAGTTAACAGAATGTATAATCAACTGGCCTATACAGCTATAGCACATTGGATACACCATTTCTCGTCTGATCACCAAGTTAAGCAATTTCAGCCCCGGTCAGTATTTGGGAGGGTGACCACTTGGGAACACCTTGGTACTGTAGGCTAATTACCTTTTTTTACAATACTACTAATTATTGTTCTTTAAGAAAAGGAACTTATTGTTCTCGATTGCTTGTATATAAGTTTATGCAAAGCCTTTTCTTTCTTCTTTCCATCTATTTGATACATTGTAAATAACATTGCTGATTATTGTTACTGTTACTGTTATTTCTGTATATACCTTCTTCTACTTGGAGAATCTGTATAAGATCAAATGGTCTTAATAAAGCTTTTTGATTTTATATAATCCCCCTGTAATACACACATCTAACGAAAAAAAAGGTTTTAATAAAATAATTTGTTGTATTATTCCACAGTAATACACGCATCTAACTGAAAAAAAAGGTCTTAATAAAGTGTTTTGTTATTATATAATCCCACTGTAATACACACATCTAACTGAAAAAAAAGGTCTTAATAAAGTGTTTTGTTATTATATAATCCCACTGTAATACACACATCTAACTGAAAAAAAAGGTCTTAATAAAGTGTTTTGTTATTATATAATCCCACTGTAATACACACATCTAACTGAAAAAAGGTCTTAATAAAGTGTTTTGTTGTTTTATAATCCCACTGTAATACACACATCTAACTGAAAAAAGGTCTTAATAAAGTGTTTTGTTATTATATAATCCCACTGTAATACACACATCTAACTGAAAAAAGGTCTTAATAAAGTGTTTTGTTGTTTTATAATCCCCCTGTAATACACACATCTAACTGAAAAAAATGTCTTAATAAAGTGTTTTGTTATTATATAATCCCACTGTAATACACACATCTAACTGAAAAAAATGTCTTAATAAAGTGTTTTGTTATTATATAATCCCACTGTAATACACACATCTAACTGAAAAAAAAGGTCTTAATAAAGTGTTTTGTTATTATATAATCCCACTGTAATACACACATCTAACTGAAAAAAATGTCTTAATAAAGTGTTTTGTTATTATATAATCCCACTGTAATACACACATCTAACTGAAAAAAATGTCTTAATAAAGTGTTTTGTTATTATATAATCCCACTGTAATACACACATCTAACTGAAAAAAATGTCTTAATAAAGTGTTTTGTTATTATATAATCCCACTGTAATACACACATATAACTGAAAAAAAAGGTCTTAATAAAGTGTTTTGTTATTATATAATCCCACTGTAATACACACATCTAACTGAAAAAAAAAGGTCTTAATAAAGTGTTTTGTTATTATATAATCCCACTGTAATACACACATCTAACTGAAAAAAGGTCTTAATAAAGTGTTTTGTTATTATATAATCCCACTGTAATACACACATCTAACTGAAAAAAATGTCTTAATAAAGTGTTTTGTTGTTTTATAATCCCCCTGTAATACACACATCTAACGAAAAAAAGGTCTTAATAAAATAATTTGTTGTATTATTCCACAGTAATACACACATCTAACTGAAAAAAAAAGGTCTTAATAAAGATTTCGTTGAATAATCCCACTGTAATACACACATCTAACAAACTAAAACAACCCCATTTTCACAGAAAATTAGAGAAATCCTTAAAGCTGAAGATAAACGCCAGATAAGGACAAATATAAAGAAGAAGAAGAAGGGAAAAATTGAGAAGATCTTTTTCAATAATATTTTTAGGAAAATAAAAAAGAAGAGTAGAGAGGTATCAGGTTTAAAAGACAATGTCAATTACGGAGAGGTGGTGTCAAAAAACACTTAAGACAAAATCACGGCCGGTAACTTTTTTTTTACAACTTTTTTGTTGTTGTCATACCCTTAAATTAACGCTTCTTAACTATACCTAGAAATCTCTTAACTATTATTGGTATTTATAGTTAATTTGTTGTCAATAAATGGTACGTATTTCTGGATGCTCTTTCTCTATGAGTGTTAATTAAATAATATATCATAGCTATATGGGAAAAAAAGTATATTTATTTTAGTTTTTTTTATATAAAAGCTTTCGTTATTTATCTATTTCACAATTATTTACATATAATATATATACCCCAGAATTTTAGTCCATCTAGACCTAAAAAGACGATAGTAGATATGGAAAATGAAAATATTTGTTGATAATTTCTTAGCGCACATATGCAACTTTTGCAACATATGCAACACACATTTCCAAATTCTTCAAAAATGCAAATAATATTTTACTAATATTTTAAGATACGGAATATTTTATTTTTTAATATATAAACGAGACGTAATATAAACATTTTTGCATATACCCCTATTTGTGGATATAATTAATAAATTCATTATATCGTTAATTATCTCTCTCTCCAAAGAGATATATAAGGATTTATTATTTCTGTGAAAAATAGACACTTCGGCCAATTAGAGTTTTCTTATTTTTTCGACGTTTCGACAAAAAATCTTTTGTCTTCGTCAGGAGAAATAAATAAAAATAAAGATTTTTGTCGAAACGTTGAGAAAATAAAAAAAAAAACTCCAACTGGCCGAAGTGTCTATTTTTTTCACAGAAATATGAATACCGGTACAGGCAGCCTCTATATTAAGTATTTATTAATTATTTAATGAATGTGTATATATACAAATTTATCAATAAGTCTCAGTATATATTTATGAAAAAGGGAAATTTCAGACAGCGTGAAAGCATAATATGAAATAATTGTTTAAGGAATTTAATTTTTTTTTTTTCACAAAAACAAATGCCAACCAGTCGAATGACTAAATTTGCCTGTCTAAGGTTTGAGATAGTTTGATCGTCACAAATTGAGAAAGTCAATATGTCGTTGGACCCCACTGGCTTGGATGTCACCCGGCGTGTCATGGACTGATATAGATTCCGGATGTTGTGCTGCGGGATTTCTTGCCAAATTGTCTCCAACTGTCGGGCTAAATTGTCAACATTCCGGGATGGTGGCAATCGCCTTCCCATCACGTCCTAGATGTGTTCTATGTGTTCGAGATCAGGCGACCTTGCTGGCCACGGAAGAATTCAGCAAGATTGGAGACAACCCATAGTAACACGTACTGTCTGTGGCCGGGCAATATCTTGTTGAAAAGTAAGCCCGGGGTGATGTGAGAGGAACGGCAACAAAACAGACCGTAGAATGTCATCTACGTACCGTTGTGCTGTCAGGGTGCTAGGAATGACTACCAATGGGGTTCTGGTATCAAATGAAATGTCACCACAGATCATAACGCCCTGTTGTAGACTTGTGTGGTGTTTGAAAGTAAGGCCAGGATCCACACGCTGCCCAGGATGTCTCCAGACACGTTTACGACGGTCGTCAGGACACAGTAAGAAACAGGACTCGACACTAAAGACTATACGTCCCCAGTCAGCGCAGTTCCAAGTTGATCGACACAACTGTAGTCGGACTTGTCGGTGTACAGATGTGAGGGGTAGGCATCGTAACAGTCGGTGAGATATTAGATTCCGCTCTCTCAGTCGTCCGTCGATGGCCATTTTGGACACACATTGTCACACATTGGATGGTAGATAACGTCGAATCCTGTGCTGCGACAGCAGTTCTGACAATTGCTCTGTCCTCCCGTTCTGTTGTTGCCCTTGGTCAACCGCTGCCGTCCTGACGTTGCTTACTTCTGTTGTTGACCCACTCTTGTCAACATCGCCTAATAGCCGCATCACTTCGACCCAGATGTCGTGCGATTAGTCGATTAAACCAACCAGCCTCTTTCAATCCAATGGAACGACCTCTTTCAAACTCTGAAATAGGCTCGAAATGAGCACGAATCTTTCGGCGAGGCATTGAGACAATAGAAATAGGTTTACTGCAAATATGTCAAACGGAAATTTGAGAATCTGCTCGTGCCGCGCTGAATATCGAGTCTAGAATACTCGTGATGGATGTGTAGTTCAGATGTCCTCGAGCTCTTGCTTTTCATAAATCAGCCACCAAATTACATATGTTTGCATGTTTGATCGAAACGTCTTTGTATATGTATTCTCATATAAATAGGACAAACCATTATTGGTGCCTTTATTTTATTTTTCCGTTATAAAGTGTATGTAGATATATATGTAAGAGTAAGCAATTTATTTTGGAAGTCAAAAGCCTAGCTCTAAAATAATAATAATAAATGATGAACATGAACATCCCTAGTGAATGTCTCTATCCGAGTATTTATTTACATAATCAAAAAATATGCATATATATGTAAAGGTATGCAAATTGTTTTGGAAGTCTTTCAAAAGTTTAAAATGAGTGACTTGGAATTATGAGCGAACGCTTTCAGTATATATGTCTATAGTTTCGATATTATAAATCATTTTGAGACACGAAACATAAAAAAACACGGCCTTAATTCATCGTATTTCTGTTCATGTTGTTAAACCAGCAAAAAAAAGTAAACATGAGAAGGAGGTTTAAAAAATGAAGCTTTAAAAAAACTTTATGCTTTTTTAAACTTTAGTTGAAGTGCCATTAAGGTGGTTTGTTTGAGGATTACCACATACCTAGCATTTCTACCCACGCCACACACATTTAAAATATTTTTACAAATTTCTTCTTTAATACAGCGCGCACGGGCCTCTAATTGCATTCATAATTACTTGAAGTCCTCGGCAATTAATCCGGCGCCAATTTGGTAGTGACATCGTTAGTGTCAACTGGAGGTCGTTAAAAAACGGTACGTCAGCTTAATTTTATAATGAGGGCAGATGGTGACAAGTGGGAACGACAACTTTCAACAACTGTGGATACAATCTTTGACAACTGTGGACACAATATTTGACAACTATGGACGCAATCTTTGACAACTGTGGACACAATATTTGACAACTATGGACGCAATCTTTGACAACTGTGGACACAATATTTGACAACTGTGGACACAATATTTGACAACTATGGACGCAATCTTTGACAACTGTGGACACAATCTTTGACAACTGTGGACACAATATTTGACAACTGTGGACACAATCTTTGACAACTGTGGACACAATCTTTGACAACTGTGGACACAATCTTTGACAACTGTGGACACTATCTTTGACAACTGTGGACACA